ATTTTGTAAAATGAGCTTTATATATGAGAATATATATATATATATATAATTTTTATTCAAAAATAATTGTATGCAAGGCTAAAAAACTACAGAAACGTAAAGAAAAAAGTAGAAGAAAAAGATATAAAAAGATAAATGAAAAAGTGAGAAACAGTAAAAGACAAAGAAAAAGAAAGATATCTAAAGAAGCAACTTCAAATCTTCTTTGCAGCAGTTACAAACATAATTATTACCATTTCCACCCTCCCAAATTACATATCATGGTTCCCTTATTCCCATAAACAACCCTTTTTAATCAGTAAATCCTAAATCACCAGTTCATTTTTGTCCATCTTCAGCAAAAAGTCCACAAAGGGTTTCCAGTCTTTTATAAAAGTAGTTATTGTTCCTTCCCTAATCAGACACATCAATTTAGCCATTTCAGCACGTTCTACCATCTTCACAGTCCACTCCTCCATTGTAGATATTTCTGTATTTTTCCATCTTTGGAAGAGCCTGCATACAATAGCCTCACCGCAGTTACCATATATAAAACCAATCGTCCATGAGTCTTTTCTAGTTGATTATCCATAAGTCCTACTAAAAATAACTTCTGGTTTCAACTGAATATTAAGTTTTAAAACTCTCTGCATCATCATATATATTTGTATCCAGTATTTTTTCGCTTTCTCGTAAGTCCACCATGCATGGTAAAATATCCCTTCGTGCTTTTCACATTTCCAACAGTAATTAGAAGTACCTTTATACATCTTAGACCATTTCTCTGGTGACATATACCAACAGTACATTGTTTTATAAAAATTCTCTTTTAAATTGTAGGACAGTGTGAAGGTCAAACCTTTTAACCACATTCTCTTCCACTGATCCATTTGTTCTAACCAAAGTTCTTAGCCCATTTTATCATGCATTCTTTAGCTTGCTGTTCTTCCATTCCAAATTTAACAAAAGTTTATACTTTTGGCAGTCACATGTTCATCATTTGTACATAATTCATTTTCAAATTCCACTTTATAATGTTCTATTCCTGGTGCTTTTTTATCTGTATTAAATCTTTTTCTTAATTGTACATATGAAAACCATTGAAAACCAAATCCCTCTGCAGTCTTGTTCTTTTGATTTCATCTTAAGTTCTTCATTTTTCTGTACTAGCAAGTCTTGATATGTTAACCATTTTTCTTTGCCCGCTGTTTCTTTTCTATAAAATGCTTCTTGAGCTGAGGCCCATATATAAGAACTTTTGAGTTACTTTTTAAAAATACATTCTAGTTTTATCTTTTATGAGACTGATTATTTCCAATACGGGGGAGGAAGGGCTAAAACCATTAGTCGCACACCTTTACACTATAAGACCAGGCAGTTGTATTATAGAAAGCATTTCATTTTTCCATTTTTCCATTTTATTTGCCAGAAGGTCAGTACAGGTTGTGGGAGCCCTGTTTCTCTCAACAGGCTAGAATTAGGGAAGAGGATGTCAGGCAAGTTACTCTTTGGAAGATAGCTAGTGGCTGTCTTAACTACCAAGTTGCTACATGAAAGTGGAAGGTAGAGTTTAGGGTCTCTGGGAAAGGAGGTTTGAGACCTGCAGCTTTAGCCCTATGGGATCTACTATGCCACTATACCTACTTATGGGAGCAGCTCTTAAAATGATTGTTCTTTGTACCACAGTACAAATTTTTAAAACAAACAATTTCTAATCATTGATTGATAAATTTTAACAAACTGTTTTATCTTTTTCTTCAACTGCACAGAAACTTCTCTGATAAAGGATGAAGTGGTGTGTGGGAATGACCTTGAGGGACGGGGAGAAGCGACGCAGCCAAGGGAAAGGTCAGATAAAAGGCAACTTAGCTTGCAGCAGGAATGTGGGCGAGGCAAGTGGCTCAGAAGGAACCCTCCCTAGTTTCTTCAGCTGAAAAGGGGACGGGGCGGAGGAATGTACTTTTAGACTTGCAAGATTCTGTTAATATAACCTTACAATAAAGTAGAATTAGCTCATCTGGCCGTGCTTTCTGAGTTTAGCTGAAGTTGGGGTTGGGAGTCGGGTGGCATACAGATTTAATAAATAAATAAATAAATAAATTTTAAAAAATGGTAGCACAAGATTTGGGGCTATGACAAGACTGAGGAAAATTGAAGAAGATGCACAGAAACGGATAAGGAGTAAGAGTAACATGCAGAGGAAATTAGGGATTCTGCAGTGTAGTAAAGTCAGGAATAAGAAAGAGTTCTGATAGTGAAAATAATAAACTCCTAGTTTGTTGGTAGAAATAGTTTGCTTGTGTCTCGTTTGTTACTCAAGACCTTGTGTACAAACATCAAAGCCATCCTTTAATTAGCACTGTATAGTCTTGACCAGTTTGCTCGCCTGCTTGTTTGCTTGTTTATTTATTTAATATTTCAGATTTAGTCACTGCTCATCTCAGCTTGAGAAAGCTTTACTTCAGGACATGGAGGAATTTTGTGACAATAGCAAAATTCAATCGCTAAGTGAGGAACTCCATGTTGGTAATTGTTGGCTGTGCCAAATCCTTGATGTCATCTATTTACTGACCTTCAGACACTTAAGCGAATATATCATTTCTCTTGTATTCAAACAACTGCTATTTGAACTGAGAGAGAAGTCCAGAATAATTAAGTAATCAGTGGAATCATTCTCTCAAGTAAGAGGCTAGGTGGGAAGTTAATACTAACCCTTCTGGGATCTAAAAACAATATCATTTTTTTCTGTAGTGTACTATTCACCAGGCATTGGGTCAATGGGTCATAGGGGCTGAGAGTGAAAGAAAGTTGCAAGTAGTTGGCACTGAAGAAGAGAAATAATAACCTGCAAGCAATAGGTAAGAAGAAAAGGCTTGGGCTATGGATGTTGCCATGCAACTGGCTTGCTTTTCATCCGTTGTGAAGCTCCAGTCATTATCTTAATGAAGAACAAACAGAATTTTGTAAGCTACAGAAAATCTGCAAGACTGAAAGACCAGAAATACATGGTCTCTACATTCTGTTTACAAAGTCTTTAGGACAATCTTTCCTATCTTAATGTGTAAAGAACATTTGATCTACAAAGTGTATTACTCTGACATTAGCCATACTGTTTGGAGCTAGTAGGAACTGTAGTCCAAAACATGTGGGAACCCAAGATGCTGTAGACCTAATAGTCCTTACTGTACTTGATTAATAATTTCATATTCTTATAATTATTTTTAGCATTATTGCAGCCTAGCATATTAGGAGAAATAAATTTAGGCATCTGTATTCTCTGTTTCTTTGGTACCCAAATTACATTAAAATTATGATTCTTACAAAATTGATATACTAGAGCTTGGCTCAGGCCAATTTGTCATATGAATACTGTTTTGATGCAAAGATTTATTTGCCATTAAACATAGATGCCTCGTTTCTGCAACTTAATTCCCATAATCTGCATGGTAAAGCTGTGGTAAATCTTTTTTCATGTGGTGGCCAAGAAAACAACATGGATGTGTCCAGGTAGTTCACAGGAGTTGAGTTTGCATTTTTCCCATTGAAGCAAGTGACAATGTGTGCGCACAAAACTGAGAGCAGCTTCTGAAGAAGCTGTGTAAGCCTAGAAAAAGATGTATCCACTTTAAAAAGCTGGCTTCTAGTTATGCCAGAAGATGGGACTTCCCTCCAAAGGCTGTTAAGATGGCAGCCCAATACATACGTTCCCAAGACTTTTCTTATGCAATGACCTGGCTTTAGCTACAGCATTTTATAAGAAATGAAGATGTTGGAGCCTCCATTTGTTAGGTTTACAGTTAGCCAGGAAACAACAGTTCCACAGGTAAACAAATATTCTGACTCTTTGAAACTCTCAGGTTGTGATTCCACCGTGGACTCTTCTAATCATTGTCTGATGAAACAAAGATCATTCACTTTTACTAAGCAGGGGAAGTCTATAAAATTATTTATTTATTGAATTTCTAGTCTGCTCAACTCCAGAAGAACTCTGATTAATTTTATCAAGTTAAATGAAACAACTTATATAAAAGGAACAACTGTCATTCTAGAGAACAACACAACATCCTTCCACATAACCCCCAACTTTAAGGGCCCTGCCCAAATACCCTAAGCCAAGGTCTGGGGAAAACATCATGTTTTTAAGGATTGCTTGAAAGAGGGGAAGATGGAGGCCATGCAAATCTCTGGATGGATGCTACTCCTAAGGGCAGGTGCTATGACAGAGAAGGCCCACCTCCCAGGTCCTGTTGGGTGACATTGATTAATCAACAGGACCTGAAGGAAGCTGACTCGGAGCACACAGGACAGGCAGCCAGTATGGGAGACAGGCTGTCCCTCAAATAGCTGTGCCACGTAACACCTTGAATTGCACCCAGAAGTCAACTAGCAACCAGTGCAGCTCACGTAGCACGGTTGTTACAGTTAGGCTTATCCATCACTGTTCTAAAGGCAACAGCAGTTTTGATGAATAGCAATTTATGTGGTGAAAATCTCTAAAGACAGTAACAATTTTAACTGTGAGAAACAGTTATTAGGAAATGAAAGTTATACATTCCAAAAACAAGAATAGAAAAACTCTTAGCTGGTTATATGAACTGTTATTTCTGCCAAAGGAGGTGTTAAACAATACTGACAGAAAGGATGTCCAACCTTCTGCACCCACTGTTCACTTAGTGATTAACTGAAACATACATTTGACCTGGGGTGCCTAGTTTTCGTATTCTCCTGTGAACCGCTCAGAAATAGCAAGAGTGCATTCAGATTTGCAGAAGGATGTCATGTTTAACTTTGTACCATGCATCGATTGTGTCATCTCTGTTCTGTTAGTTTCATGCAGTTTTATGTTGTGAAAATCTTCAGAGATGACCATACCAGGAAAAGAAATCATATACATTCATTTGAAATAGCATAAAGGAATAAAAACAGATCTCTTAAAATGTAAATGAACCCTGGAGTGAAAAAACATTTAGTCTTGTCATTTTCTGTGTGAGGAACAAGAAGAGTGAGCAGGTGTCACTTTGGTCTTCGCTCTGAGTTTTAACTTCCCAACTGCATTCTCCTGTGAGGTTAAGCTAAGAGAAAATGTACAGCCTTCATAGTTTAGTGGGTTTTGAAAGCCATGTCACCCCTCTCCTTATTCAGTACTCTGGTGATTATGTACAGTGACCCTTTCCTACCCACTGAATGGCAAAGTGAAGTTCTCTCTGAGTGATTTCACAGGATCTATTGTGCCGTCTCTTTAAGTTTTTTAGAGGCTTTAGTGTTGGAGCTGCCTTAGAATGTTAAATAGTTTTAACATTTTGTGTATTATATATGCATTCTTATGAGCTGCCTGAAACTATTGGCCTGGAAGGCATATGCATTTATTAAACAATAAACAAAGTGAGGTGGTCAGGGAAAGAGGATGGTTTTATAATTGCGATAATTTCATACAATTCGGCATGTAGAATTGTACTACTGTACATAATCAGCATACTCCTAGTTGTTTAATATGAGAAGATCTTTCATTTCCAGAATTACTTTCCTCCAAAATGTTTTCACTCTACTTTTAAATCATAAAAGGGGAAAACAAAGTGCTCCTTCTAACTGGAGATGCATCATCTGGCATCTCAGGACTACGTGCGGTCCATTAATGTCTTGGGTATAGCAACTCCAAAAGTCGCAATCAATTTATATTTTCATATTACAGGAAAGGAACTGATTAACTATATTATTAGAGGATATTTTTATTAACTCTGTTTAACATTAATTACATTGAAATGTAAATGAAATAAAAACTAATCCAATTTTTGTCATGGCTTCACTTACTACTTTTGGACTATAGAACCACTTAGAAGGCAAGTGTGGCCCATCCCAGAAAATGTTGGACCTCATCTTCTAAATATTGATAGGGTAGAGGGCTAAGACAGCCTCAGAACAGATGAGGAAAAGTCCACTGGCAAGATCAAGAAGAAGAACTAAGAGACATACTGTGAGAACATTTAGCTTCCCTATGGCCAATCCTTAGAGGAAGTGAATAAAACTTTTAAGAAGCATATGAAAAATATTGCTGATCAGTACAAAAATAAGAGGAATTGACTAGTGCAAAAAAGTCATGATGGCACCAGCCTGTTAGTGCAAAGAAGTGAGCATGGTTTCATCTACTATTAGGTAATTTTAGCTTTATAATGTCTTTACAAAGAAATTGCACTTATTACTCTTCACAAATGTGTTGATGACTTTTAATTGGGAGATTGTAATTTACATTTTTAAATCTTACTCATCCTGGGGCCTTCTTGTTGTGATATACTATAGCTCTGATTCTCAGCCAGCGCTGATTAATGACCTGTTGAGTAGGATCATACCATATTTGAGCTGCAAATACTGTATCTGGACCATGGGTAGATGACAGCAGAGAGCTACAGAAAACAGTCGTTTTTTGCTGCCATACAGTGATTATTCAGATTTTTGCAGCCCAAATATGGTATGCCTGATGTAGGTTCAAGATTGTGGGGGTTATATTCCAACACATTTGGTGGGCACTTAAGAGTGAGACACTTCAGGAGGTTTAAACTTCCATTTTGGAATCTTAAGTGCAAGATGAAATACATATTTTAAATATAGCATCTTTTTCAGAAAAATAGTTGGCTGGCCCATTTTGTCTTAGACAACTAAAGGATTTTTTGAAATTCTGTTCAGTTGCCCATGTTTCCATGCTTTTTCTTCTTTTTTGCTACATAAACCCTCCACTAAAGTCACTTGTTGAGAAAATACTTTGAAAGAGAGGGGCAGGGATAAGAAAGCTGAGTCTACTCTTATTCACAATTCCACTTAATTGTAATATCTCATTGTGTTTTCTCTCTTTAAAGAGCACACTGTGGGATAGGGTTGGCTACATTCTATTTTTTTAGCTATGGCAGCACTGTGGGATATTCAGATTCTGTGTTGTACTTTGTCAGAAAATGATCTGGTGGGATACATGTATACCTACCAGAACCATGGCTTATTCCTCACCAGTACCCACAAACTAGACTAATCACATAAGCTAGAAAACTTTTGTGAATTACCTCTAAGCATCCTAGAGCTTGCCAGATGTGCAGAGACTTGAAAATAGGGGTGTGGATTCCTCCTGATGTGCATACCACATTGTTTTTATAAGCAAAAGCAACTCTGTAAGGAAATCTACACGTTGTCTCAATCTCTAACCATCTGTTATGAGCTATTCAATGGTTGGCAAACTTTTTACCTTCAGGGAATATGTTCTACATTGAGTGCTACCAAACACAGCAAAAACTCTGCATTTCAGATCATTAGCTTCTTGTACCTCTCACAGGGGATCCAGCAAATCAGTGATGATTCAGATTGTAAAAGAATCAGGTTCTTTAGATGTTTCTGTCTCAAAGTTGGAGGCAACATGTCTGCTTGTGAGCTGCTCCCAACTTTTGTGAATTGAGGGACAGTTACTCCCCATGTCCCCTGTCTTCCAGTTCTGGAAAACAGTTTTTATACTTCCCTGGGGGAGTTTGTCCAAGAGGATAAGGGAATGGTTTTACTCTCGTTCAGGTTTGATTCCGCAGTGGGACAGTTTGATTCTGCAGTGGTTGTGATATGGTAGGAATCATTGTCTCATCTGCAGAGGAATCCTCAAGCAATTACTCTCTAAAGCAGTGTTTCTCAACCATGGCAACTTTAAGATATGTGGACTTCAACTCCCAGAATAGAAAAACATTGCTCTAAAGACATGCTGAATGCAGCAGAGGATTCTGGCACATATTCCACTATGCATTACTTGGTTTCATTGCAGTTCTGTCTGAATTATATACTAAATTATACTGAGCATTACTTTGCTGCTGTGCTTACATTAAAAAAAAATGCAAGAGGTTTTTGTTTTTTGTTTTGGTTTTTTTTTACTATGCAGAGTACAGGAATAAGAATGTTGACCAAAAAGGCTAACTGGTTGGGAGACCTTTTCCTGGGAAAAGACAAAAGTGAGATTAAGATTACAAGGAGCAGAAAACAATAATAGTGAGGAAAAAAGGACTGCTTAATCTCTCTGACTTTTTCCAAGAATTGCTCAATTTGAGTTGCTTTTCTTCCTGTGAGGGAGAATATGGTTGTGCTCGCATGACAGGCTTGTCAAAGTCAAGTTTTATTTGGTTGTCCAGTGAATTTTGGACTTACAGTCCACGTGCATTTTGCCCATGTGTGTTGGATTTGTATATAGACCTTGCTCACAGCCTTGGAAGAGGGGAGAATAATTTTAAGACAATTTTGTCTCTTTTTGTTTGCTGAATTATGCAAATCTATCTTCATTATCTATTCTTAGTTTAATTACAGTTTGTTCAGTTGTTCCAATTGCTTGAATTTGTATAGCACCCTAAGCTCTCTACAGTACAGGGTTCTGCTTGCATGAATTACTAAAATGGAATTGGCTAATTAGTATTTCAGTGTGTAATATAAGCGCAGCTTCTGTGGGGCCTGGATCTTTTTAACTCTTGGGAGAAAAGCAGATGGGCAGAAAGGAACAGTTTAGAAAGGAAAGGAGGGGCTTTTCTTGAGAAAGCAAGCTTATATAGCTTAAAAATGTAATGGGTGGGGAGGATCATAGATATATGTGTGTGCATGTGCGTGTATATACATACATACATACATACATACATACATACATACATAAACATACTAGAAAATAAATACAGAGATGGTAATAGTGTAATAGAAGTTCTCGTTGCAGGAAGAAAGAACTTAATTCTTGTTCTGGTAGAGAAGGGAGATAACCTCTTTGTGGTTATGCATTCAAATGGTGACCACAGGATGATATGGTTTGGTTTGGTTTGGTTTGATAACAGCACTTTATGTCTGAAGGCGCAGAAGGAGTTGGACTTGGGACATTTGACTGCTGCGTTGTTCAGCTGATTCTACAGAGGGCAGGGGGTAAGGCCTGGTGCCAACATATCTTGGAAGTACTTGGTGCCTGAACTGAAACATGAATGTGACCACAGCCTAGGGAATATTATGCTTTCGTCAGCCTTTCACCTACATGTACTTCCCCATGGGGTTTGCCATACATTCTCATTGCCTTTTTGAAAGGAAGGATTGACTAATAATCTATTGTTTTGCATGTGGAACTGGCACTGACAACAACCGATGAGACAGCACACAAGTTTCCAGCATACAGATATTATTAATTGGATCATTGGATCAAAGGAATTTAAACTGGGTAGGCACAATTCTATCTCTTATTACCTTGACTGTTAAACATTTGAATTAGTTTTCATAATATTTCAGGAAAGAATTTATTTTCACAGTATAATTAAAGCAAATTCTCTTTTAGATATTGTAGCAAGCAAGACTCTGGTTGTGCTTAATAACAGATAGGATCATGAGATAAAAGGTCATTTTCTTCCAGCCTCTGAACTCTTATTGTTTGGTTCTTTAGAAAGAGACCTAGCCATTCTGTTGCTAGATAGCTTTTAATTAACATTTGAGGGATACTAATTTGCCTATCACTTGACACAGAATATATAAAAGGGGACTTGAATATCTTGCAAGCATTTGAAATCTTACAACAGTGTTTAATTTTTGGTTGTTGGAAAAATCTTTGCTAGATTAGATTTAAATTTAAATTTAAATTAAAAAGACAGCCAGTTTGGTCTAATGGTTAAGGCTAGAAACCAGGAGACACTGAGTTTTAGTCCTGCCTTTGGCATGAAAGCTGGCTGGGTGACTTTGGGCCAGTCACTCTCTCTCAGCCCAGCTCACCTCACAGGGTGGTTGTTGTGGGGGAAATAGGAGGAGGAAGGAGTATTAGGTATGTTCGCCACCTTCAGTTTTTTATTAAAAAATAAAAAATAAAGGCGGGATAAAAAAAAATCTAAAAAAAATTGTATGCAAGCAGTTTTTTTTAAATCAAAACTTTTATTAAGATATATAAAAAGTACAATTAAAATACAAATCAGAAAGTATAGGAGAGAGAGAAGATAGAACTAAAAGAAAAAGACAAAAACTAAAATAGTGAGATCAAGTAGAAAGATGAAACAGAAAGAGACTTCCGACTATCTCCAATACAGATATAAGTACAAATTAAAAAAAAAAAAAAATCTCTTACCACTATTTAATCCTAATTCACATTATTTCTATCAACACAAGCCATCTAATCATTAAATCCCACAATCAAAGCTTCATTTTTTCCCAGCCCAAGCACGTAATCTAGGAAGGGTTGCCATGAGGAGACAAATTTAGAAACAGTATTATCTCTTATTAAGGCTGTTAGCTTCGCCATTTGAGCCAAGTCCATTAGTTTAATAATCCCCTTTTCCACTGTCGGTATTTGTAAGTCTTTCCATCTTTGCGCATATAACAGTCTTGCAGCTGTGATCATATATAGAAGCAAAGATCCATATTGTTTCTCCAATCCTTTCTCCATCAAACCCAGTAGGAACAATTCTGGTTTTTTTTTAGTATTCACTTTAAGAATTTTTTGAATAGCAATGCATATCTCATCCCAAAATTTTTTAGCCTTTTCACAAGTCCACCAAAGATGATAAAAGGTTCCTTCACCCTGTGAACATTTTCAACAAATATTTGTTATACCAGTATACATTTTTGATAACTTATCAGGAGTTAAATACCAGT